ATGTTTTTAGTTATATATGCATATTTATATATATGTATATTTATATATAATATTTTACTCGCTTTTATAGATCTGATCAAATATTTAGTTATTTGATTAAATAAGTATTTTGATTTTTGACAAATTTATTTAATAAACTGACATTCTTAGTAATTATTTTAATTTCTTTCAAATACTTTATATCACTCTTCAATTAAATAAACACTTTCTTGTTGAATTACTCTATAAAAAAATGTATATATGTGCCAATAATAATTATAAATAAAATTAGTTCCAAGATGTTAAACAATAACCGAGTTGTTAAGTAATTCTGTTAAATTTATTACCCGAAATAAATGAAAAATTATTTATGAAATGCAACGAAAATCAACGAAACGTATCTTAAAAACTCGGCCGAATTTTACAACCTCTGCCACGAACGTTTCAAATCAAACTGAATAAACAAACGCCAAACAAAATCCGTCAATCAATTTCTACTTGAATTAGTCTTACTTTGTTAATATTTTTCTTGGCTTTATTGTTGTTTATTAGTTAATAAAGTGCCTACAGCGAATGCGCAGTTGCAGCGCTGCATTACAGCACAAAGCACACAACAGCGCGCTATGCAATACCATAACATAAATTAATTAACACAGCATTATGAATTATGATGTCTCTTGCTGTTAACCACAGAAGCTTTTAAGTTTTTCTTGCTGTTTTAACAGTTGCAGCGCTGCTTTGCTTGCTTTAATAACATAAAAGTAATGTTGCTTTATCGTAAGAAAGATGCAAGCAGTGCAGCTGTTACTATCTCTGCTATGACGTATGAGTGTTATTGGCAGTGGCTGTGGCGTCATAACTATTGCCATACTGAGTTAATGATGTTTACTTTGTTTTAGCAAAATTTAATTAATATTTTACACATTTTTTGCCATTGTATTTTCGCTATTTTTATCACGAAAGTTTTTCTTTATTCAAAATTTTAGGCCCTTAAAAAATAGCACACATTTGCATAAATTTTTCTTTTGAAAAATTATTATTTCCGTAGGTCTTTTAGTTAAACTTGCGACAGTATATATAATTTAAAATAATAATCTTAGTATATAATTGATATAACTGTATTGTTAAATATTAGCAAAAGCATATACTTCAATAGTACAAATTAATTATTAATTATATTATTAAATAAAGTCTAAAATATGTACTTTGATATAAAACAACTTTCCATTAAAAGAATAGATAAAACTTTCACTTGATTGAATAAAACACAATCTCACTTGCTTTTCTATAAATACTTCTACATACAGTCGACTCTCGCAAATTAGAACCACTTTGTTTTAAAGTAATTCTAATATCTGAAAAATTCTTATTTTTTGTTAATATTTTTATTCAAATATAAATAAAAAATGCAGAAAACTTATTAAAATAAAATACAATAGATTTCTTTTTTCAATTTATATTATTTAGTAAAAATAAGTAAACGTAACTGAAACTATTACTGTTAACAATCCAGTGCAATACTTGTATTTTTTAACTATATGCAACAAAACATAAATATTTACATCAATTTCATCACATGTACATATTATATTTTTTTAAATAAAAATGGAATGTATTTAAAAAAGTAAAATAATTAGAGACGCAAACGATACCATTGGCAAGTTTAAAACTAATCTTTCTGTGGCAAAGATTTTTCCGAAGAGCCAGCAAATTTCTTATGTGCTCATTGGAAAATAATTCACAATTGTTGCATCATTTCTTTAAATTATTAACATTCTCAATGGCTGTTGAGTTTGAAACAACTATCGCACTCGCTTCTATCTGAAGACTCAACATCACTATTGCGTTCATATGCAGATTCGTCATCGAGTACATCTTCATTCCATATTTCATTATGTTCTATGCAGATTCTACTGTTCAGAACTATTTCTGCTAAAAGAGCAGAAATAACACAGATATATCCATACAAAGAAAATTTGAATTTGTGAAATTCAAACAAAAAGATTCGAATTTCAGAGAATCGACTGTATTAAGCTATTTTATTTAAGCTATTCTTTGGATATACACATTATAAATGAGAATAAATTACTATCATTATATTTGCTTGATATTCATGACGACAGTCAATACGTGATTTTAACAAAGTCTCTATTTTTAATAGATGAAAGGATAATAATGGGAAAATTTTTATATTAATGTTTTAAACAAATTCAGATGCTATCAGTGCCTATCACTTGACACTACATACATCTATTACTTTAATTTTCTATATAATAATAGGTAAAAGAATAATAGGTAAGTTAGAATCATAAGTTAGAAGCATTTCTAAAAGCGAAAATCTGGTCAAAGTTAATACTAAAGGTATCGTCGAGTAAGTGCGTTCCCAAAAACTTAAGTCAAAAACTTAAGCCTGGACATAGACATAATAGATATTCTAGTATTATTTCTTCGAGCGTATGTAGTAACGCGTTACAAAAGATACAGCAGAGTAGGCCGAGGTTAGCCCCATGCCGTCCTATGGTCCTTTGGCCCTGAAAAGACAGTTATTAATCTAGATACCTCTGAATTGCTTCTGTGTATCAACATTGAACATATTGTTAAATTATAAGAAATCTGTTACATTTCTACGTAATCATGCCTCTTCTCCATTCTTTCCATGAACCTCTTACATTGTTGTGTTGATTTCGAAATTGAAGCTCAGCTTCAACGCTCAGTCTGACCACGAAGATGTGAAGAGAGAAAATTTCAACAGGTCATTAAAATGTAATCCAGTTTTTTGTAAATCTTGAATTTTAAAGTTAAAATGCGTAATTAATTGCAATGTAACAATGCTTTCATTTAAACAAACAAAAAGCATAAATACGCGTAATAACAAAATAAATTAAATTTATTACAATTTTTATTGTGCGTTTTTGTCAGCGTGTGAAATGTGCGTTTAACACTTCCATAAAATTGAAATAATCACCGAAAATAATTACGAGCACTAAAAAGATGCACCACAAAAAAAAAATATAAATAAATAAAGAAAAAAAATAAAGAAAAAATTATGCAATAAAACAAAAAATCAACTAAATTCATGTAAAAAAATTAATTTTTAAATATTGTATTTAATTAAAGCGCTAAATAAATACCTAAAAATAGCGTGTATAAATAAAAATAAATAAATAAAAAGTCATAATCGTAATAAAATGTTAAATTGTGGCTAAAATTGCATAATCCGAAAGAGGAGGGAAACGTCGAATTACAACAATAAACTCAAAACATTGGTAATAAATTTGGTCAGGTTTATTGTTAGTTTAATTGTGGTTGTTGTTGTTGTTTTACTCTGTTTAAATATATAATTCGAAATAGGCATTTGCACCGGCAAACTGCGTTCAATCGCGCCAACTTGGTTCGGAATTTGGCCAAAACGCCAAAGAGATCGCGTTAATTACGTCAGTTTGATGTTAATTTTTTTTTTTGTTCAGTAGTATTTGAATAAAGGGGAAAGTAATTCAATGAAAATAAATAAAGTATATTTTTTTATTGATTTAACACGGGTTTTGAAGTTTTATTGCACTGTTGGAGATAATACATTCAATAATATCATTATAGAAGTGCAAATAATTACCTATTCAGCAAATTTTAATTTTTTAATTTACAACCCTGTAAACTAGGATGATTGATGTATTGTAATTAATATATGTCGATTAGTTTTTGTGGTATATATTTATTTATACGCATCAGTTTTTTTAATAATTCATGAAAAAAGTAAACAGTTTTTATAGTAGTTACTAAGCCACTGGAATAATCAATAAATACTTAATGTTTACAAAAATGATTAGACAATATGTTATAGATGATATTTACATAAAAAATTAGTTGTACATATTAAAACGTATTTAAAACCGACATTTTCCTAAAAAAAATTCAATGTGAAAACTTTTGACAATTACACATGTAAATAATATATATACATATACATAATTACATATTCATATAAGTAAGCTTACTTATTTTTAGACACTTAGTTATGTATTCCTAATTTTAATCAATCTAAGTATATTGTTATTTAGTGTCATATTTCTATGTGCCTAATTTTAAAATAGGTTCCTAACTAAATAGTTACCGAAATTCAGTTCACACAGCACAATTCATTTGAAACTATAAAATAGTTTAGGTCCAATAAAATGACAGAGATGAAGAGCAAAAAATTGAATTAAAAAGGCAGGGTTGAATAGTTTTTCATAGATAAATTTACTATAATAAATAGTAAGTGTTCACGAAATATATATCAAAGATTATAGTTTGGATTAGAAAAGAATGTATTCAAATTTTATATATCGTTCAAGAGTTTCTGGAAGACATTATGCCTTTTCTTTTGTAAGCATATCACAAAAGAACAACTGCTTAATTTAAAAATAACATATGAAACAACAACACTGCTGGGTTATTTAGTCCAACCTTTTTGAAATTGCTTAACTAATAAGCGCTGAAATCGTATGGTTGCCAAGACTAAAAATTCGTCTATTATGATCGATTTTTGAAAGTACATATAAAATTTCCAGTTAACTGTCAATGAATGTTTTTGTTAATTATTCGTGGGTCATTTCGTCATTGTTTTTAACAAATACGTAATTTTTTCTATTTATTATTTTACTGTTAAAAGGCATGAAAAATTATACTTTATTCACAATCAAGTAAAAAAAATATTCTTACCAATAATTGCAAAGAATTATTATTCATTTTCGAAATTTTAACTTTAAATTTTATTACGTCTTTTGCATATGTATGTCTGATAAAATCTGCATTTCATCCAGAGTTACCATCAAAATTAGTGCTTATTTTATTTGTTCTTTAATCTTGTTCAGTTAATCATAAAACGTTTTACAACTCACGAATAAAATTCGGCATTAATAATATCGAAATGGTATAGTGGTTTGTCCAAATTTTATACAAATCTAGATGTTTAAGAATGTCATCCACCCACATCTATTCCAATCATATTTGCTTTTCCGAAGTTGATATGTCAATAAGTTCATATGAGACTATTTTCTGCTAGTCATTATGAGTTCTTACGTTTGCAGGTGAGATCGATTGATAGTCAAAAGAGTTTTATAGTTAAAAAAATATTTATTCAGTAATTAAAACTACTGAAAAACTTGACACTCCTTGTTATGGAAGAAAAAATAAAATATCTACTTTTGAGTGAAATACCTGCAACTACCAAAACACTATGGTTTTTATAACTCTAAACTAGTTACATTTTTCGAATATTTGAGTACAATTGGTTTCTCAAATATAACGACCAGTAAAAAATTTACAGGCTTATAACAAGTCGTACAAGTGTAAACGAGTAGGTTCATAAAATATTTATTCGACCGAAAATAACTTTTACTATCAAATCCCTAGAAATGAAACTAGAAAATTTAATTAAGAATGCAGCCTTAAAACAAATTGTTCTATGCGATGTGCAATAGTGAGATTCTTTCTACAGATTGATTAAATAATTATTCGATTATTCTATTGCCTTATACTATCAAATTCCTTATACTATCAAATAAAAGAAGCCGATGCAATAAATCTAAGCACTCATAAACGTTAAATACTGCAAGGTTTCCAATTTTTGGAAAGATTGATAATCAAAACAGAGTTTGTCTCAAATTCGAATAATGACAACGTTTATAACACCAGGTCTAAAGTCTTTTTATACTACAAGGTGGTATAACTTAAGTCTACAAATCGGTCATATACCAGTGTTTATCAAAGTGTTTGACTGGTTATGAAATACAATATTAATTTCACAAATTTACTAAGAATTAGCGAATGCTCATAATGATTGATTCTCTATAATTTCAATTACTTTACAATGTTGATATACAACATTCACGGAATTGTATATACAATCAACTTTAAATATACGACATTGAATTTTCGCCCTCTTTTAAATATACAACACTTCCTATTACAGAATTAAATTGTATTGGTATATACCATAGAACTGGTTATATTTAGGACTATAAAATTTTTAATAATTTTATTTTTAAACAGGCTAATTGGTCAGTAGTTAAATAATGCATCCTTAAAAAAATTTTTTTTTTTATTTAAAAAATATTATTTAAAGTAATATTTCGGCTATATTCTACAATAATCTTTAAGATACCCTTAAGTGCATTATTTAACTATTGACCAATTAGTCCGTTTAAAAACAAATTGATTATTAAAAAATCAATCATTGAAACAATAAAAAACTAAAATAATATTATAATAAAATATTTAGAAGTTAAAGAAATCTTTTCATAAATTAAAACTTAAACTTATTAATTGTGAATGTTATATTGCTTTTTTAACTATTTTAAACTATTAATGTTCTATT